GTGTCTGGTGGTCATTGTGTTGGATGGTGCAGCCCTAGAACCTCTGAGCAGAGGAGACTGTGGAGATCAGAGGCCAGTGACCTCATTTTACAGAGGATGAAGATACAGCAGGGGCTTTGGAGCGGGAGAAGGGTGTTTGACTCCTGGCTCCACCAACCACTAGCTGTGGGGCCTTGGGGCCTTCGGCAAGTCATGTCAAAGCTTTGGCTTCAGTTTCCTCATCTATAAAATAGGTCTGATAACACTTGAATCCCCACCTTGTTGGGAGGAGTGAGAAAAATGTCATGACGGGCAAGCACAAGCTCCCTTCCCAGGGGTCCGTCCCTGGGCTCAGCAGCAGCTAACATGGTGCCATCGCGCTGCACACCCAGGGGGCACCTCTCATACTGTATCCAAAGAGGGGCTCCTGAGGTGGGCAACGTGGTGGCCTCGGCCACGGGCAGCCTCTCAGGCCCTAACTCCTGGGCGTGAGCCCAGCACTGCTCCTCCACCACAGGGCTGAGTGCAGGCCAGGTGCAGGGACAAGCATCAGCTGAGCCCACAGGTGGGCAGTATGCCCAGTCACTCTGCGTGGTGTGTTTGAGAAGCTGACCTTGTCCACTGGGGTGTCTGAAAGGCCCAGGCTGGCCCACAATGGTGTCATAGCCAGTACCACTTGGGGCTGAGACCTGGGCATTACATCAAGCGGAGTCTTCAGGCAATAGAGGGGGTGCAGGACAGAGACAAGGACGAAGGGAGGAAGGGGACCACCATGAGAGGAGGCAGGTCAGGGCCACAGGGGTCCAGCCATGTCCTGAGAGCCCCCTCGGAGTCTGTGGCTCCTCTTCCTGGGCCGGTCAGTGTGGCATCTGAGGGCTACCTCAGTTTCTCCTATCAGTCTGTTAATATGGTTGGAACCAGACGGGGATGCCTTCAGACAGGGGAGGTGTGCCAGTCTCTTTGTCCCCAGAACAGCTGGAACTTGGTGTAAGCCTTTCTGAGCAGCCAACTTCTCAGGAATCAACGGATTCTTATTGCTGACCGCGAGGTTAAGGCACACACTCTACTTCCAGATGCTTTTTAAAGCTCTAATCACAGCACTTATCTTTAAACCAAACCGGGAGCTAAAAATGGTCACTTATGAGGGTGTGGATCCTGGTGTTTTGCTGGGAATTTACTACATTCCCCTTTCTTCACAGGTGTCCTGGGAGGCAGACGGTGGGGGGGGGGGGAGTTCAGATCCAGGCCATCACTAAATCTCCACAAATCAACACATTCTGCCATCAGCTATATCTGCGGGGCATCCACCACACGCCCAGTGCTGAGCTGGCCCAAGGCCAGAACACATGACCACTGACAACTGGGGGCTAAATAATACTGTTTGGCCAAAGGGACAAACTGTGTCAGGGACCCAGTTGGTTGCTGGATTTCTCTTTATTTCCAGATTCAGGCTGCTTTGTTCAGGTGTCCTGTGAGTACAAGTGTGGAGGGAGAAATTCATGTCTTCCTGACTGATACTGTTGATAAACATATGCTCTTTATGTGTCGCAAATCATGGCATGAGAGAACTCACAGGGAGATGACAGGAGGGGCCCTCCTTGACTAAACATTCCAGTTAAGAATGAGGCTATAGTTTTAGGAGCCTGCCGCTCTCGTCCCTTCTGTAAGATGCCAGCTCCCTGGCAGGCCATTTGGGTACTTGCCCAGGGGGTGTATCAATGTCCTTTATGGGGGCTTCTCAAACTTGGACCTTAAAGTTCTCTCTGACACACCCCTACAAAGGCTGGCAAAGGAGGACATTGCTTGTAAAGTCTTGCACATCAGAGATTCAGAAGATCCTGAAGAATCAGAGAGGGACTCCCACTGGGCCTTATTCTATATCAGAATCTAGGACTAAATCATATTCTGTTATTTTCGTTAGGAAAAAACTAAGAAGTGCATCAGCTCTGCCTACACTAGTGTTGAAGCCAAAGTGACAATCCTGTCGTGCAGGAGGCAAGCTTTTGGCAAGACAGATTTTCTGATGAGAAAATAAAACCCAGAGAGGTCCTGTTGTAGCAAACCAAACAGGAACTGAGTGACTCTAGGCACGCCCCCAACATCACCCTCGGTGACGGCAGCCCCCATCCAGGCCTGGGTCCTGGTGGGCCAGCTCTTCCCAGCCTGCCCAGAGCCTGTGGAGGCATCGTGGCTGCCCACTTCCGGCTGGTGCCGGGCTGAGGACCCTGGATGAAGTGCTGGCCCATCCTACTCTGTCCACCAGACTTGGCAGCCATGTGCGCTGTGCTAGAGCCCCCAGCCACGTCCCCTGTGACACACGGCGTCTCTGGTCTCCGTGAGGTGGCAGTGGTACCATCCAGGGGTAGCTGTGTGCATGATGAGGAGACCAGAGGGCATCTGGTAGGAAAGCAGGCATTTTGTATCTGAGAACATGAAGCAGGAGACAGCAGAGTGCTGGAAACGCTCAGAGCCAGGAGACCTGGGTTCTAGTCCTGGCCCTGCTGCTTGGTCTGGTGACTTGGGGTGGCTGGGCCTCAGTTTACTCCTCTGTAAAATGGGGACGATGCAGGGTGCTCAGGTGGTCTAACGAAATAACATGCATGAATATAAAGTTTATATAAAGGAGAGGTATGGGTCATATTCCTGAATAAACAGATTGACAATCCTGTTATTTTCTACAATGACTCCCAAGCCTCTCTCTTCAGGGGTTTACACGGGAACTTGGGTCACTGTGCTGAGCTGCAGCCAGCTGGTGTGAACAGGAAGCACCGGGAAAGGGTTTCTGGGCAGCGAGGTCTCCTCGGTGTGAAGGGAGGCAGGACAGGGAGCTCTTGGTCCTCCCTGAAGAGCAGGACAGTCCAGGGTGCAGTGACTCAGAGACACCCAGTGGTGATGAGATGGCGGAGATGCATCTGGCCATGTGGGGGCACCCGCGAGGACAGAGCAGGTCGAGCTGGTGGGGTCAGGTGGCCTCCGAATCAGGGCAGGTGGTCAGTGATGCATAAAGAGCTGCTGCCTCGGGGCCTGGAGCCCAGCTGACCAGACGTGGTGAGGCTCAGCTCCTAACTCGCAGGGCTACCCTGATGGTGCAGACCTTGCTTTTAAAAAGTAGAGATAAGGTAATAAGAACAACAACCATCATTTAGGGTAGACATCCATGTGCCATGTGGCCAGTGTCCACTTCTTATCTGTCACTGCCCTCCAGACAGATGACCACAATTCTACTCCTTGACCATGTCACGTTTCTTCCTGCTTAGAGCCCCCACGTGTGCTGTTCCCTCTGTGGGAATGCTTTTCCTCCCACTGCTTCCAAGTCTCATTTTTCAAGCCGTAGTGTCAGGTCACCTCCTAGGAAAGGCTTTCCCTGGCTGCCCCCAGACAGGACTTCACCAGCCCCAGGACCCCCTCCTCCACCCTCAGGGCCCCCTGGGCAGTGACTGGAGTTTGCACCCTGTATTTGTGGCTTAGCATTCACCGTGCCTCCCCACGAGACTGTGGTGGCATGCACAGCCCTGCAAGAGTCCTGCCCCTGTGGCACCGAGCACTCTGTGCACAACAGGAGCTCAATGACAGTGGTGACCACCAGGAACCCTCAGAGCCCTTCTTTGGGGTAGGTCTTGTTATCCCCATTTTACAGACAGGACCTAAACTGTTGCTTAAGGTCATAGTTAATGGCAGGTCCAGACCCCACCCAGCATGCTGGCAGCAGAGCCTGTTCTTCCTATACTAGCCTAACCCCTTGACTCAAGGCCAAGTCTGGTGCTGCAGGGGCTTCCACCCCAAAAGCCCCTAAACTTGATCTGTGGTTTGCAGAAAATGTCTCAGAAAGACTCCACAGAATCGCCGAGAACTGCAAGTCTGAGTTGGCAAAGTGTTTGAGGACAGGCTATGTGGAGGCCACGTGCCCTCCCTGCCTTCTCTGGGTCCCAGTCCTTGCCAGTGCCAGCCTCTCAGCTGTGGATGGGCCCACATCCCCTCCTGCTTTGTAATGGGATCATCACAAGGCTGGGGGCAGGGACTAAGTCTTTTCATTTTGTTCCCCATGGTGCCACGTGCACGACCCCAGCAAAACAAGCTGACAGTGCATCGAGGGGAGCATCACACCAAGGAATCAGGGCAGTTACATCTCCAAAGAGCCAGAGAGCCAGTTCTTGTCACCCTGGGCACCTGGCGGCTGGTGAGGACTTGGAGAACTGATACGCCACAAAGCTGCCTGCACACCCTCTCAGTGCACTCACTAGGGTGTGCACTAGTGCCCCCAGCCCCTAGGACGGGCAGGGTAGCATGTGGTGCAGCTTGCCCATGCCTGAGTCCACACTTCACCTGTGTGCACCCGTGTGCTGCCTGAGCCCCAGGCTCTGGCCGTGGGCGCCTGCAGCTGACAGGACTCTGGCCCTGCTGGTCTGTCCCTCCATTTCTCCTAAATCTGTGCACAGAAGGCCCAGCCACACAGACTCAGCATCTGCATGTCCTGTACTGGAACCATTTAACCAACAAGCAAGGCTTTTACGGGCTCGGCAACTCTACTACAGATACAAGCAGACCCAGACCTTTGAGTCGCAGGAAGGCCACTGTGCTTTTCAATGTGGCCCTTAGCTTCATTTCAGGGTGACAAACAAAAAGGTGGATCCACATCAGGCCTTCCCAACCACGTTTGGTGGCTCCAATGGCAATTCTTGGTTTTGGCAAAGCAAGAGATCTAAGCGGTAGGAATACACATGGTCCTCATCAAACTGTTCCTGTCAGGGACTCAGCACAACACTTCAGAATGAATAAAAAGTGCCCATCGATACCAATTTTTCCTAAACTGGTCTGTGTGTGCAGACCACCTCCACATTCTTCAGGCTCTGCTCCCCCTTCTGCCCCCTGAACCCACCCACCCACGTTCTCTCTCGGTTACCCCCCTTCAGGAAGCTTTATGCTGTTGGGGGGCATGGGGTCAACCACAGACAGTTGAGCATGAGGCTCCCACTCCTACGTGACTCATGTGTGGGGCCCTGTGGGACTGGGCGGGCACTCACCCAGAAGGTGGAGGCTGGGAGGCTGCCTGGCGAGGCCATGGCCCCCCCACCGGCTGCCTTTGAGCTGCTCGGCTGTGGCCACTGTGGCTCCTCTTCCACTGGCTGCTCACTTCTGCTCTTCTGTTTTCTTATGATCTAGGAGGGTGGTGACAAAGGGGCAAGTTACTTAAGGGTCCCAGGGGCTAGGGAGGGCAACCGGGGCCATCCCTGGGGCCTTGTTAGCCAGGTAAGAGCTGAGTTTCAATGGGATACCAGCCTGCTGTCCATCTGCCTTATGATGGAACAGCACAAAGCATGGTCTTGAACGTTCACAGCACTTCACAGTTTACAGGTTATCCTTTTATGACACCAACTTCTGTTCAGGAAGTGGCCCCCATGTGCCAGGCCGTGGAGACACAGCACATACTTGCCTAATCTAATCTGTACAACTACTAAGGGCTCCAAACCACAACTGCCTCATGTTACAGATGAGGAACCAGGCTCGGAGAGCTTATCAGTTAG